TTCGTCGCCATTTCCCCCCGCGATACTCAAGGTGTTGAAAAAGCCTGTTCTTTGTTTTCACGTAACTGATTGGAAATGTTGGGTTCCCACAGTCCTTGTTTTCCTCAATACCTTTGACGACTGTGTTTTGGTCGGTTAATTGTCTTCTTTCCAGATCAAAACCATCGCGCCATAATTTATCAACGCGTGTTTTAATTTCCAGTGACCCTTTGAAAGTAATATCTACTCCCAAAATCTGGGAGCTGGATTGGGGTGGCCATAAACATTTTGTTTAGTTTACAATATATGAAAAGGGAGAAAATGGCATTGTCTGCAAACACTTCAAGTAGCAGAATAACAGTAACTAAGATTCCTTCTTCAGATCAAATCACTTTGGGTGTATATGCTAGACGTGGGTGCGTACTGTGATTTTTTGTTTCCATTACTTTTGGGTGTGCTTAATTATTCATTCATTGGCTACTTTTTTTCCTGCGAATCTACGTTCATAACAAAATAAATCCAACAACTCGTCATAACCAATGAATAATATTACAAGTCCGCCAGGAAGCACACGCATAGGCCTACCAGGAGAAATTGCGCTGCCGCGGAAGACTCTATCGTGGATCTTTTTTTTTCCTGTTTTGAGCAGGAACAGCCGCGACAGATGGCCGTCGATAAGCGACCTCGAGCGGCGGGCCTCGACGTCCCGCGCCCGGCGCATTCGTGTTGTGATAAAAGTGCAATATTTTCGTCCGCGGCCGCTGTTAATTTGCCGTCTGTCCTAATTAAAGAGTCCCATCCAAGGCCGTGTAGTTAATAGCTGGACGGTGGAATAATGTGATTCTTAACCGAGTTAATTCAACAAGATTGTTAATTATGATTTTTTCCCTTTGTCTCTCGAATCTTGACCTGAGGGAAATGTCGGAACAATACCAATCATTGTCTTAAGAAATTCGAGCGGCGATCCTTTTTTTCTGCTGGTACTACTGTGGCATACGTTATGTAAATATTCTAAAGAGGGGTCTCCAATATCGTACAAACGTATCTTCAGGAACTGTCTGTTGCTTGGGAGCATAGAAAAACTTTCGAGAAAGAAAGTCTCTTTTCTGTTTTCTTTGAACTTTATTTTTGAAATGAATTCACCCAAGACAGTCAAATGCACCTAGCTTGTAGTTATTTTTTCCCTAATGCACCACTCCGTATATTTAAGTCTATGTACGACAAATGTGTTACCGAAAGGTACTTTTTTGCCTGGGTGATTTCTTTCAAATTTTTATTAAGGTTCCGCAAGGACAAATGAGCCGCGTTAAAAGACGAAGTTTTTCTACGAGAGTCAATAATGACCAATCTTTCATGAGTGTGTAATACCATGGCTTGGAACAGTGCAACTCGACATCAGAATCAGAATCATTAGAGTGCTTGTCTCGTCATCAAGAACTATTCGAAAAACCAACTGTGCGAATCCTCCGAAATCCCCTGACTCGTCTACCAAGCCGACCTGTGACGACACGACGCGCGTCCACGCCTCTTCATTCCAGACCTGTTTTGTCCCTGGCGACTCTCCGTTTCCGTTGCGCAAGGAACCGTGCATAAGCCATCATCGATGAATGAGACTTTAGCCTCGATTCCAGTCTTGAAACCGACGGACAAAGATTGCCTTCGGCCACAGGATGTGTGGTATTGATATTATCTCCGTGGTAACATATCGCACACCTTTAATAACTTGCCCGCGTGTGTTTACAAAAAAATCCACTTTGTCACTCGCTATTGTAGAATTAGACTTTGAAACTATACATGCACGCAGGTCGCTATATCACGTATAAATTGCACGACGATGTTTAACACAGATGTCCACGGTTCGGTTTTCGTATACAATGTGAATTTACATTTATCGTTACGCAGTTGCTAATATGTCGTTTAATTTCTTCACACTACTCAATGCAGAAATGTTATTAAGGGAAACGTAATGTCTTAGACAAGTATGGTAATATGAAGCCGTAATGTTCTATAACCTACCTGCTCTTGACTATTTTTTTTGTAAATCACGGACTTCACCGCTCAGTGATATTTAACAGTGTTGGTGAAACGGAGAGAACTCCAACTCAAGTGTCTCGGGCAAGCTACTTCTCAATTTCGATCGAGTCAGTCGCCCGTGGACACACTGTGGGCTCGAATCAAGTCTACGGTACGCGAAGCGGCCGCGTTGCGCCGTCAGTTCAGACGGGGTAGTAAATGGCGCGGACAGCACTGTCAACAGCCCGGGACCTCTGGCGCATCGGGCGGACGCGCGCTTGTAGCGAATTTGTAGAGGGGATCCCCCGGGGTTACCTGTGTTGGTTCAGAGAGTTCCTCCCCGGGGATGTGTGACAGTTGGCATTGATATGCATGAGAGGGGATGGGTAGACAAAAACGGCCGGTATGTCGTTCCGATGGCAAGGGGAAAGGGGTCAGTAACTCTTTTGATATCTTTGAAACCAATCACACCAGTCAAAAACAAAGTCACAGAAGTTTTGAGCAATATGTATTGATTGTTTGTTCATTGACTGAGCTGCGGCTTCACACTTCAGCATCTTGAATTCAGTGAGACCCTTCAAGCCGGCGGCAGTTCTAGGTTCTTCGACAGCAACTTCCACCCGTCTAATACGACGCGAAAGGTTGAAGTGCTTTCATTTCACTTCATTTCTTGTTTGAAACTGGTTGGGAGTCGCTTGCCGAAACTTGGAGCCGCAGTCGGTTCGCAGCCGCGATTCAGATAAAAAGGCCCCTTTGTGTCTGGCCCACTCCCTCCGCTTAATCCACTCTCTGCTTCTTCTCCATCATCATCATCATCCGGGGATGTAATAAGTATAAATCGCCGGGCTATGTCGGCTCTGAACGTCCACTGCATCGAGCCTAGGTCGCAAATTATGTAAAAGACCCGCTTGGGAATAACGGCATCGCCACCCCCTGTATATGCCCCGGTAACAATAATTCACCGATGAAAGTTTAATGCGATGACACCGCGCGCTGAGCGAGGGAGGAACAGACATCAACGCCACTTCTCGTTAAATCCCGTGCCGTTGATGAGTCACGGGTGATCATCAGATGGTGGTTAATAATATTTGTGGGCAGGAGAATGCCCACTGTTGATGACCCTGCACTTTTCCGATTGATGTCCGGCATTTCAGTGCCTCAATCGCTCGTCTCCGTAACCCGGGGGGGGGGTATTTCTGCGAACCAGGTGACTGTCATTTCTTCGAATGGTCTGATAGAACCGATTTGAGCGATAACACAGGCCACTTTCATTCGCGTGAGCCATGATACGTGGGCAAAAAATGTATGAGCACCAAATGATTAAGATAACAACCCGCACATATTTGCGACACCTGCGCTTCCTTCACAAAATTTCGTGAGGAACACTTTTAGCCCTGAAAGGGTGGAGGGGACTAGTCCATACGTCTCATAGCTCAGAGGGGAAATTGTCCTGGGTGAGTCCCCGTTTCCGCTGGGAACTTGTCCCTGGACATCACAGACCATGGGCGAAGAGCAAAAGCTGATGTTGAAGTTGCCATTTCCGCAGCACAAAACTCCACCACAGTTAAACAGACGTTTCTAACAGACGATTCAAACAGACGATACGCGAGACCTCCGGTTTTACCAGCTCGCGGTTGGCCATAATTCTACTTGGAAACGAAAGAATGATTCAAAAGTATATGAAATTAAATCAAGTATTCCTGTCTCCCCTGACAGTAAGTACTCTAATCAATAGACACTACCAAAAACTACGTGAAACGTCTGCTGAGCAAGTATTGAGAGTATTATATGCAATGTGACAAAACAAACTTGCCAACTACGGTCGAATTAGCACGTACGTAACTTAAGTGATGGACATCATGTACAGCAACGTTGCTAGCTTTATCACGAACTGCTGCTGCGTGAGTCGTGAATATAAGCTTCCTGTGCAAAAGCGTCGATCAACCAAACGACATGGAACAGCCGATGCTATCATAATCACGCCACGTAATCATTTCACGATGTACATCAATTCCATTGTTACTGATTCTGTGAAGGCGAGGTAGGGGGATATCCTATAACACTTGGCTTCTTCTGACCGAGTCAGTAGCAGCAAGGAAAGCAAGGCCGGGTCCCATGGGTAAGTCGGCTGGCTCGCCTAGTCTCCCGCACAACGCTTAAAATGTAAAACAGCGAAACCAAAAACTGTCATTTTGCCCCCGGGGCGCTCCATATCCATATTAGCTTATTCTATTTTGGATCCGGTACTGAGATGACTATCTGTATTATGGATGATGGAAACAATCTCCTTATTAGTTATTTATGATATTGTTTGACACCAACAAAGTGGATGGTTTGGTAATACATAATTTCGTTATTGTTCTCAGCTTTGCCCGAAGGGGAACTCGTGGGTGATTTTGATAAAATATGCTCATAGGATTTTGGTTGTTTCCTTGAATTTTAGCAGGAGGAAACCGGGGAGGAATTTTCAAGCCCGTTTGCCTTTGTTGTCGAACCCTGGAGAATATGCAACGCTTGGCGCAAGTGTTGACGGGCATATGGACAGGCGACTTTAGTAATGCAACCGTAACGCGTGCATTTCATAGTTGTTCGTGGACCAGCGCAAAAGTGCAGTTCCCACTCGAGGAGCCTCGGTTACAAGGAAAATTCCGCCCTCTCTTGGTCCCACTCTTAATTGCAGCAAAACCGAGTTGGGGGCGTCTCTGTTGATCTGTCTGACACACAAATGGATGTGCCCGTAGTATCATTTAACAACAAAGTTCTGTGCCGCACGCTACTCGTGACTAGTTTCAAGACTACTCTCTTCGTAATCAGGACACTTGGCTAAGCACCGCTTTGCTTTGCGCTTGAAGAATACCCCTGTCAGCCAAGACGCATTGAACTTCCGGGTGTATTTCTTAAGGTATAAGATTGGTAATTACAAGTTTCTCTCTTTATTTTTTTTTCTCACTTGCTGCAGGTTGAATGAGAGACTTCGGGGTAAATATGACAATCACATTGCCATTTGAAGATTGTTTCACAAAAAGACGGAAGAATTCGTAGTCTGGACAAGAAGACACCTCTTTTTTTCAGTGGATGTTGATACTTCTCCACCGAACTGGAACAAGCTGTTTTCGTTCACCCGTGTCCCTTTTAAAAAAAATTATAATTCTTGTCTATGTCTTGTTGATTACGTAAACTTCGGTTGCGCACCCAAAATTTACATCTTTGGTGGGGGAGCTGTCACCCGATCGATGAGAGCCACCAGGTCGTCCATGCCGAGCATGGTGCTCCCTCTACCGGCGGCCGTCAAGGAGGAGCCGCGCGAGATCTCGTGCGGGGCTAAGCTCGAGGCCAAGCTCGAGGCCAGGCAGAACGAGAATATGAGCTCAACCACTACGGCCGCCACAACCAACAGCAACACCACCTGCCGGGGTGGGGTGGCCCAGCATCAGCGGTCCGAGGCGCAGCTGTCGCGGGAGGAGAGGCGCCGTCGACGGCGGGCCACCACCAAGTACCGCACGGCCCACGCCACCCGGGAGCGAATCCGGGTGGAGGCCTTCAACGTGGCGTTCGGAGAGCTCCGCAAACTGCTGCCCACGCTACCCCCAGACAAGAAACTTTCAAAAATCGAGATTCTAAGACTCGCCATTTGTTATATATCATACCTTAACCACGTCCTCGATGTATGACGGCTGCCAAACAGGACAACCGACATTATGCAAGTACATGCTGAATCGTTTCAAGAACGAACAGTGTCTTGGGATTTCAAGCTGTTCATGGTGACAGACAACTGAGGTGGAAAGCTTACGGTAGCACCGTGCAAGGATACAATCTCTTTGTGAGTCTGTATGGTTCTGAAAAGAACCGTGAGGAACGTTGAAAATGCAAGGATACGATCTCTTTGTGAGTCTGTATGGTTCGGAAAAGAACCGCGAGGAACTCAACGTTCCTCCCGGTTCTTTTCAGAACCATACAGACTCACAAAGAGATCGTATCCTTGCATGGAACAGTGTCTTATAAAACAAATCGTGTATTTAACCAAGTGCACATACAGTATTCCATAAATGCACAGATTATTGTAACTATTACAGAGTATGATAACACAATTTTGTACACTATTTCTCTTAGAGGCTATTCACCAGTGTTGCTTTTAGCACAGTAAGCGATGTGTGTAACTGGGAAAGTAATACGTTAATCTGACGAAGCTTGCGAAAATAGACAAATGTCTTTAACATTCCCAATGTCTCCAACTATTCTGGGCAATGATATCGACCTTATTAAAAAAAGATCTGTTCGTTATTTGTTCTATGACACCTGACCTGGCACACCCAAAGCTATCGGGTTAAAGGTCACATGAAAGAGGGAGGGAGGATAATGGATGATATTCGAAATTTTAAAAAGACCTTAAAAGTTTTTAGAAATTTTCTTTCTCAGAAGAACCCTTTCCTGTAAAGTTATATTACGCACATCGCTGTCATAAGTACAGAAACCTGTATAAATGAGTTTGACAGGGGAAAGTGCAAAGTTTTAGCCTACAATGTATGTCATTGTTTCGTCAACAGTGATGCCTAAAGTGTAGCCCTAAACTTACGCCGTGTCTTGCCTAATAGTGCGTGTGCACATATTTCATTGTGTCAAAAGACTCCCAAGGAAGTGTGTTAAGAGTGTATGCTCTGTTGGTGCGTGACTTAAAATGCCGTCTTCTGTGTGCTGTATGAGTGATTTCGTGTAACGGAATTCACATAAAAAAATCGGGACCCAAAATTCCTTAATCGGTACACAGAGGTCATTGAAGCCACTGCCGGCCATCTTACTGTGCCAGATGCAAAGGTAATACCGACTGCCATGTTTGTCCTGTTCCCGGTAAAGCTGTTGGTAATAATGATACAACTTCACATATTGATAAAAGGGAACAGGCTATTATTCTGCCAGCCTCAGTTTGGTTATTTTTGAATGGTACACTGTAAAAACAACGCTTGGAGTTTAAATACATTTCTGTACACATTTTGGTAACCACTTTTTAAAAAGGTTTAACCGCGACATGGTTATGTTATGCATTTAGGAATGTGTTAAAATTCTCAGCAGATTTAAAAAAAATATAGCCAGCAAGATATGGAACGGAGGGGAACCAGCCCCTTTACATGTCCAATCCCTATACACACTCCAGACTATTGTTACCTAACACATCCTCCTACTAGATGTTTATAAAGAATTCCTGAGATTCCGATCAAACAGTGACCGACACAAAGGTAGGGGGCGCTCTCCATACCATGTCTTGCTTCATATGTCAAATAAAGCTGAGCATGTACAATAGAAAAGCGTTTAGCGTTTAAATACATTCCCAAACACATTTTTAATAAACATGTCCTGGGATGAGCGTGTGGAAAAAGTGAGTACAAAAGAAGTGTTTCAACTCTAAACGTTGTTTGTTCAGTACAGAAATGCAAGATGGCTGCCCCATGATACAGGTCTATTGTTCCAATGGCACCCGGGCCAACCATCTAATTTGTGTTCGGCACATTAAAATGGCCGCCGGAGGCTTCATTGGGGACAAAGGCATTGTCCGTAGTCTGTGTAGGCACTTTTCATCCAGGTGACGGGACAGCTTCCTCGTAATCAGACGGTACTTTATCCCAGTTGCTGTTGATACCTAAAAATCTGTTGACTCGCCCGACTACCTTGTCTCTATACGGTAGTGTAGTAATTTAATGATGGTGTCGATTCCGCTTGACGGCAAAATAAGAACACTACAAAAGGTGGTCCAATAAGACTTTGTTGGCAAAATGTTCCATATTCTGAAACCGCGACGGTTGACGTTTGTAGAAAAGCAACCTCAAGCATCTTCTTCTAGAAACTATAGGCCTAAAGCATTAAGAGCCAAAACCCATGGCAAAAACTGCATTGTACGCTGGTCTCGTTACGCTCGTGTCAGAAATGGTTTGGAATAGGTAGCACAGGCCACACGGCCTATTTAACATGGATGGTTTCGGCTACAGCATGTAGATGAAGCCGGTGATGCTGTCACGGGACATTCCCGACGGCCCCCTTCAATGGTGGAAAGCATTATGTTGAGGTTTCTTCGACTATCACAGCTGCCCCGGAAACCTTGCTACGTACACCAATTTTTGCTGTGTCTGCAGCCATTAAGGGGGGCCACAGAGAATGTCCAGGAGTAACGTAACCGTGGCCACCACATTAATGTTTTAATCAATAGCAGGAAGTCAGATGCATTGTTTGCCTTGGTTGTCTCCTCCTGTAGCCAACCAATGGCCCTATGTACTAAATGATATATCACTGTATTTACCGCAGTGCATCGTGGGATAGAATTGGGGGCGGGGCGGCGTAAGCCACGAGTAGGCAAAATAAGGCCGTGTCCGAATCACATGACAGTGGCTTGGCATTGCATGCAACTTCATGGAAACTGGCTGCGGCCATGCACAACAATAGACTCGTGTGTGATTTCTAGCCGCAGCCAAGCGATTCGGACAAGGGCTAACACAAGTTTCATTCGATCGCATGAAAGTGACAGGCACAATCCGACTGCATTCAATTGCAGAAGATAATCCTCCGGAAAATTTCAAACGATGATTACACAGAACTAACTTTTTGAATCGGAGACAATCGCACTCACAATGCTCTTAATAACTCTACACTGATGCCCCCCATTCTATCCCACCAACGCGATGCGGCAAACATGTGATATGCCACCTGTATAACTATTTGCCCCGTTTTTGAAGTTAAAAGTTTTAGCTAAAACACACTTTCCAGGAAAAGCCTTTTCATGAAAGGCCCAGATTCTTGTACATCAAGACTGCTTGAGAATTTGCACGAGCGAGGGTTTGAAGGTTCGCGGTAGAACCACGGGGCGTATTTCTTCAGGGCTTCGTGTGGTTGCGAGAAGAGCCGACGATCTCAACTTTGAGCAAAGTAATCACCAGGAAATAGGAACAGACCTTAATTAAGAAGAGAAGCTCGAGTAGTGTGGTCCAAACTTCTACGCGTGCCGATGTCATAGGAGAATCTAGACTACCAAACAATCCAGTATCTTTTTTAAAGTGTATACTCAGTCTCATTCCCACTTTAGTTTCAATAAACTTCACTTCCAAGCTCCATAATCATACGCATAAGGTCGAGGAGCCTGGTTTTCTTAGGGTCAGAATTTTACATTACACCATTCTACTCATCTACGGTTCACTTGAGCTTGCTAATACCCATCATTAAAGTAGCAATATCAATTAAAGCCTTTTCTTCGCCTACCGGTGATATTAAGCCTTCCATGTTTTTTTTAGAATTCATATTTTTATTTCTTATATTCTTTAATTGGTAATCCCTGAAATCTCCAGTCAGATAATGACAGGGAAACATCAAACGCAAGCCCGACCGGCACTGGGTGATGTTAAAGATCAGTTGGGTGATTTTTCTGCAAAACTTCTTGGGTTTTTATAACGTGTTACGTGTAACACGCTGTCGAATGTGCTTCATTACAGGGTATAGTGATGTAGTTTTATTCACGTTCTGTGGATGTTTGAAAACCAGTAAATTATGCTTTCTTTTCTGACAATATGTTGTCTAAATTTGATTCATTTTGATGGACTGGATTGCGGAAGAAAGGCGAAAAAGATTTCAATGCCATGTGAGTTTTTTTTGGACAATGAACCATCAAAATGTTCGTCACCATGAATGCATTCTAGTTGCAATCCCCTTTTTCAAAGACGAATATGAATTTTCGACAAGTTTTGCCCCTAGTAACACTTGGTATTTTTTTTATAAGTTGGAGGCTGTATTTGAAACAATTTGCAAATTATTAGAATAAACTCTCCCCTGAAGATTGTGAATGTGGTTTCTGAAGAAAAAAGTATCCACATTTTTGGTTGTTTTTTTGAAGGTACCAATTCATCATTTAGGATGTTTCTTTCAAGAAAAAACATTGAAGAAACCTTTTATAATTTGTTTTGTTTGCGTGAATTTGAGTTGAATGCTGCGATCGTTTGAAAATAAATGCAACACTGCAAAGTGCAAAAATTTAATCTATAAACAGATGCACGTATAAACGAAATAAAATTATATGCATGGCGTGTTTTCATGTTGATGAATATGGCCGGCCATTTGTGTCAAAATAGCTTTAACGGAGATTTATATCCTCTCCCACTCAGCAAGACAACTGGACCAAAGGGTGACCTGAGCATAAACGATTCCAACTTAAATACTGCACAAAACTAGTGATGCAACTGTGCCCCTAGGTGTGGGTCCCAATGGTCGACAACATTAGTTTGGAGTCAGGAAACTATTAAGATTCCACTCGAACTTACTCTTCGCTTTCTGCTTCAACTGCTCACAGCCGTGTCTCGACTATGGCTGTGTCCTAATGGCTGCAGCGGAAATTTCACACGAGCTTACGATGGTGGCTGTAGCCACTGCCCACTGAGTCGTGTGTCATTCCAAGCCGCAGGCAAGTAATCGGACACGGCCAAATCAAGCCAATCCGTGAGGCTAAACCCGGGAAATACATCGCCGTTGGGGGCGCTTCTTCAATGTTGCAGATACTGCGTGAACTCCAAGAAATCAATCAAGACTTTCCGACTCACTA